GATATAACTACGACCATTCATCATAGTTTCTATTATTATATTGCATGTTTTCCTACATTTGGGGTTTATTTGATGTTATTCTAGACAACTTCCATGAGGGCATGCACGGGACAAGAAAATTACCAAGAAAATATACGAGCGTCCGAAACGTAGCGAACATAACGAACATGACATGTCAGAAACCAAACCTGCGAAAGAGTGCTTGGTCGAAGAACAAAAGGTGCTTTGCCGGAGGCCATTTCTGAGCCGAAGGCGACTCCAGGTTCAATCTCGACGAGCTTTTTATTTCCCTTATGGAGCTAGCAGGACTTTGGATTATCTTCGCATATGAGCCAGCAGATTTGGATAGAGTTAGAGCATTCTAACTTCACTCTAGCCTCGCTGGTAACCATTTGAATCACGGCGTCAAGAGAAAAAAGTGGGGTCGTCACCGGCGCCATTCGGCTCAAGTTCTCCCTTGATGACCCAGCCAATCCATCTGCATCACCAGAACACGTTATCGAGAAGCTCCATGCACCTAAGATCACAGCTACAAGTAGGCGTCAATCATTATTAGAGACTGACATCGGCTATTTTTTCCGTTATCTTGTGTTAGTCATTGAATTTCGTACATTCAGGTACAGTGTCCACAATGCTCGATTAGAGTTCAGTCCGCAAAACTTGGCCAGCCCACCACCCTGCTTCGCCCGCGCGATATGAGTCATGCATTCCTTTAACGAATTCTTTGATATTACAGACGTCTATGGGCATCCAAGCTCTCCTGGCACAGTTTCCCAGCTTCTAAAAACTTCCTGCAGGCTATATATATAGATGTTGAGGTCATCCTCTCCAATGAGAGGGGAATGCCTAACATGGCTACATTGAAAAGCTGTTACGTGATGGAGCGCGGTTCGTTTGTTTATTAGCGAATGACGTGCTTATTCTCTCTACTAGAGATCATTCAGCATGACGTGCAGAATCGACCTGCCTCGCGTTCATTCTCGCAGACTTGGGATAAGAGGTCTCGATGCTGATTCGCAAATTGGCTGGTATAAATTTTCTGATCAAGGTTAGGCGCTCAACAGTCTAGTTCAAGCTCTGTCTTCCAATCGGATGAAGTGCCACAGCTTAGTCACCTCACTATATCGACGCTCCGAACATCCTCCCACACACTTGTTGTAGGGTGCCCCCACGGTAGTAGTTTATACCGTACCGTACCGAAAAAACGGTAGATACCGTACCATACCGCCAAGGATAAGCGAGTGGGCCGGACAAGCGAGTGGGCCGTCCTCACCACCGCAACGCGATATTTTCGCATATATCTTTGTAATATTGTATTATATTGGCTATTAAATAGTATATACAGAATTTTAATAAGCTATCTAATGCTAAGAACATTGATTGATTCGATGCCCTAGCTCATGACAACCACTACAGCAGTAAATACGTGGTGTACTACCACTACCTTGCGGCTGTACTTGCTGAATTTCAAGCTGAATCTGGCTATTAATCTGATCTTGCATAACCATATTACTGCCAGCACTATAGGATAATATACCTTGCCTCTGAATCTTTTTCTTTTGACGTCGCTTACAACTAGAAAGGGCTTGATTAGCTGCCTCAAGGTCAGCAACCTGAGCCTTTACTAAAGTCGCGTAGTTAGCTACTGATTGAGCACCTTTAGCAAGGCGATCAAGTGACTCAATGATAGAGGTTAGTGAGATATTTTGATAATGCTGAATCTGGCTTCAGATAAGCTCTGTTTGAAGGCCTAATTCAATAGCATTTCTTGGGGTCTTTGATTGCCATTCAATCTGCTCAATTGGTGGTGGTGTAGGTATTCTAAGATGAATATCCAGCTTTAATAATATAGTATCTGGATTCAATGGTAGTAAGCCAGTACCCTTGAATCCAGCTCGTATATTATCTGGTCGTAGTGCCTGGATAAAAGCTTGATTGAAGGCAGGAAGGAATTCGAGCTTTGTCACGTGATGGATGAAAGCTCGCACCATCTGCTAAATCTGATTGCTATATGCCTGTTTTAATGGACCAAAGCAGCCTACATCAAGTGGCTGAAGTAGATGTGATGAGTGTGGAGGCATACAAAGGGTGATAATCCTTTGCTCTTTACAAAAGAGCTTGAATTCAAGTGATTTATGACTCTCATGCCCATCAAGGATAAGTAGTCTATACGTGCCTTGTGTGCAATCCTTTGTACGCTAATTAAAATGCTTTAGCCATTCTAATCCAAGCATATTAGTAGTCCATCCATTCTCACTAACAGCAATCATCCAATCAGGTGGAAGATCCTCCTTATACTATGCTGAAAGATGGTTGGTACCAGCAAAGATGATGAATGGTGGTAATGCCCAACCTTGAGCATTTACACCTTGAATGACAGTGACCCATTCATGATCTCCAGGCTGTATAGTCTTTGGGCTATGGCGTCGTTCAGATCCAGTAACCACTTTAGCTGTTGCAATCACTCCCATTTGAAATCCAGTTTCATCAAAATTGTAGATATCGCTATTGCTGATGCTGTACTTGCTAATTATATTATGCACAAGCTCGAACCAAGGGCTGATGATCCGCAGATCCTCATATAAAGCTCTCTTGTAATCATACTTTCAATAGAAGCGCATCTTTAGTTCTAGGGTCCTTTGAACAAAGTTATGTGGCCATTTAATACTAACTTGCCCGTCACCACGCGAAGCAAGTAAATGATTAGCTATTGCTGCTACCTCTTGAAGCTTAGGCTGAAATCCACATGAATCTAGATCAAGTATATGCTGTATAAGCACTTCCTCTTCATTCTTGGTAAGCTTCATTGAATTTGGTCGGCAATCACGTCGTGAACGCGTTCCAGCTATGCGTTGTTGTAGGGTTGCTTTAGGCACATTAAAGACTTTCACTGCATGATATATTGATTTAATTTGGCCTCTTTCGATAGCTGATATTACTAATAATATTTGACCTTCATTAGATAATGGCTGCTTTTGAATTGAGCGCTGCATTGTAGATAAGATGAGATATACGCGTTGTGGTGGTGAGGACGGCCCACTCGCTTGTCCGGCCCACTCGCTTATCCTTGGCGGTACCGGAGGAAAAACGGTATACCGTTTCTGGTAGTCGTTCTGGTAGTCTTGGTGTCAGAATTCGTAATACTTATACTTACACAGAATATATTTAAAAAGTGTTCAAATGATGCTGAAATCTGTCACTTTTACTACCATAAAAACTACCAGAAACCGTATCAACGGTATAGTACGGTATTTTTGGTAGATACCGTACCGATACTGATACTGTGACGGTATATACCGATCGGTATTCGGTACGGTACCACGTGGGCAAATACCGTACCGTACCGTACCGTGGGACACCCTAACTTGTTGCCATAATTAGTAAATAGCGAGTGCACTATCGGCCTCAAATGAGGCCACAGCCACCAATCGACGTTTGTTCAGTCTATTTCGTCATAGCGCAAGGATTTCGTGTCTTCCTTCGCGCCAGCTTGAGCTACAGGATCCTTCCCATGGCTCCGAAGGAATTAAAGGACTAAACCAAAACAGGTCCGTCTTAGAACAGGTCACAGTGGCGAGCCTCTCTGGACTTACGCGTAGAGAGGTTCATGGCAGAATTACACATTAAAGCATCTTTTGCTAATCTTGTTTGCCAAAGAAAGAAGGGAGAGAAGACGGTTGAGATGGGTTGAGAACGATTTGTTAGAAGGAGCTAAGTTTTGAAAATCCACAAACCTGACCCCCTCCTTTGCATCTTCCGTGAACCTGTTGTGCTGTGATCCAAAATCCTGATGGATTCATGGCCGAACCACTCTGCTGGCAGCCTCCCACACCTATCAGTACCTTTAACAACCTTGAGGTGCTTAGCATGCATTATAAACGAAAGTGGAAATCCTTTGCTGACCTCTCATGCGTACGCTTGATGGATATCCCTTGCGAAAGCGTAGGAGTACTCTCCTCTCCGCTGCACACAGCCGATCTTCCAGGTGCTTGATGTAACGCTTTACTCCAGGTCCTTTCAGCCTCCCCTTTTCATTGAGGAGTTGGGGCATCTGCCTGCGGAGCTCCATGAACTTGCTGGCAGTACTGCTCCACCCACGGTCTTTTCCCGTCAAATCGTTGAGTATATTATTACATACTTCTTGATGAATCTCGTAGAGGCCGTGAAGCTCCAGAATTGCAATAATTTCAGGGGGGGTCCAGGTCCAGCGAGGCATGTTGTCGCTTGTTACAAATCGCCGTGATCTCAGATCTGGCCGCTTTATGTATCTCCAGCCATAGAGAGCGTAAACCGCATGACCTGAAGCCTATCAGGGCTAGTGCCAGTCCCATCCATTCGTCACTCTAGGGGCCCGTGAAGCGTTCCGTAAACAGCTGATAAAGTCAGCCCGGTGAGATCAGTACGGAATCTTCGTATCGGTGAGAGCCAATGCTACGGTACCAATTGATGCCCAGGAGTAATGACCCAGCATTTCACGTGAATGAAAGCTCATGCGCGTCACGATCCATTATCTGCAGGATTGATCTTGCAGCGGAGCCGTATCATTACCCCTGGAAAGATCAAATCCCAATTAACGAAAATTCGAGTAGATTAGCCAAACTCTTGTTCATCTGTCCCGTCCCAGTGGGTGGGTAACAACTACCGCGTTTCCGAAGAAGGAGCTTTCCAAATGGGATCCGATACCGCTAACGTCACCATACGCGGTTCGTAGGAGACAGTGATGCCCTTGTCTGTCGACGAGGGTATTCACTTCGATTTTGCTATTTGAAAGGATTGTGGAGATATTCCACAATTCTTCTGGCCCTTCCTTGACGAGGGGTTCAAAGCGGCAGACCGAAGACCTGCTATGCTCAATCGCGCTAGATTATAGCCAAAGTTTCCTTCAAAGTGGATGAGAATAGAATGGGCTTAGCTATCATCTCTCTGGAATATTAGCCCAGATATTGCAGCTCAGGCTGGTTGTGCCTGTCCAGTTGACTTAGACGAGACTACTATACAAGATGGGGAAGCACGAAAAACTACGTTCGGGAGAAAAGGAGATCATATTAAGTATGATTGACGGACAATCCCTAGACGAGAGGCTCTCAACACAGAGAGATCAGTATCCTCGGTTCAATGAGTTGCATAAAAATCGCTATGGTGTAAGGTCTAACCGCTCAAGAGCTTCGTTCAGATATCACTACGACGCAGTGATCAAAGAGCTAAGAGGAAGACCACAGGTAGGCAGCAGAATAATAACATCCTTTGCTCATCTCGAGATCCAAGCGGCTGATCATCAGGCAGTTTGATAGAATCAGGGAGGAGCAAGTTGTCCGCCAGGGGCCAGATAATTGGCAGGATGGAGGGCTTATTGACATATGGTCTGAAGAGACGGATGCCTCCCTCAACAATGCCTCTTCTCAAAGCAATCCTACACCTGATGAGAGTCACCAAGGGGGAGACACCAGCGACGAACTTTCTAATAATGATGCTCTGGTAGAAAGAGAAGACATATCGGTCCCTCCTGTAGATCAACCTGGCCAGGAGCCATCATCTACAGGATTTTCAGGCATCGTCGCTCCGAATCAAGCTGGAATCTTTCAAGAAAACATGCCGTTCGCAACCGGTCTTCCTAGCGTGCCTGGGCCTATCCATACGCAAACTGCGGAGTGGTATACGGACCGGCCGATGTATAACGTCCCGCAAGGCTCGAGTACAGTATATAACAAGACAATGCAGAACTCCCAGCTGCAACTAGTCACGGACACCCAAGTGCTATGGGTTCCAATCGTTCGGTCAACTACGTACAATGTCCCAACAGCTGCTACAGCCGATCCAATTGACTACCCGCAAGAGAGGATCTCGGCAACATTTCCCACCTCGTCGCCTTATCCTGCTCTCTCAGTTCCCGTAGCCAATACCATGGCTGCTCAACACGCAGTTGAAAGCCCCTTCACCGTCAATTATTATCCGCATGATAATCCTTTTGGGTTCATGCCCCCAATACCACGGCCGTTCTACACTTTTCAAGCCGCTGCGGCAAATGCGATGGATTCAATGACCGATAGAGTATTCAATTTTGGGTCACCCACAGTGGGTGGAAAGAGAAATTGGGTCTCGCATTCCGATACACCACAAGCGATACAAACTCAACTGCCCGAGTCCTCACTTGGGAATGTCAGCTGTGAAGATATGATAGGGTGGGTTCAGACTCTTTGAAATCTTGAAACCTTCACTGAGGCATTTGCGGAAACATGTTTGACGGCATGGCTCATGGAAGATTAGAGGGCGGTCTCTAAAATTTCCAGGCTGTATATATGAATGTAATGCTCCCTTAATTGAGATGCATATGTTGATCAATTCATTCAAGTCTTAGAGTATATGTGTCATATGGTTCAACGTGTTAGCCCCTGGTGTTCTGCAATCGATTCCGCTGCTACAATATCTCCAGGGAGCTCTAAAATGCGATCTCCTTCTCCTTCTCCAGGAAGCTCTTCTCTATTTTCGTATGTCGGCACTGGTGGTGCGGCATCGCTAACTGGAGAGGAAAAGGACCAGTACGCGGTCTTACGGATTAATCACTTCGATCATTCCATTTGCCTGGCATGACAGAAGCACATCGCAATAGAAATATGGGTGCGGTACGATTGATGGCGATCTTGACTATAACATGCTAGTTCGTCATCACCACTTCAATTCTAGCATAAGAGCCATAATACTTCGTTCTTGTTGACACGTTGCGTTTTTATATTGCCAGAGTGAAATCTGACTAAGTGAGGGTAATTAGACTAACTTCTAAGATACGCAAGGATTTCCACATTCCGTAAGTGCAGAAGATCTGGTGATCGAAGGATTTGATGCGAGAGACCGAGAGGCGACAAGATATGCACAAGGCCAAAAACAGAAGAAATAACGGGATTCGGGTTGATAAATCTTAGCAATCAACATAATTTTAAGGGAACTTCTTTAGATTAATTAGATAAGATTTAGATATTTCATCGTTATTTTATGCCTGTCTAAAAGTTTACCTCGATTTGTGAAGTACATCTTCCACTCATCTACTCTGTAGGATGAGGCAAAGCAAAAAACCTTGGGCGCTAATGCCATCATATCCTGGAAAATGTCTGATTAAATTAGCAAATATAGTATCAATTATGTTAATAAATATAATGCTAATTATAATAATGAATATAATACTTGGAGGAATCGGTCGAAGTTGAGCTGGCAATTTTTCTTTCTATATTAAGCTACTCGCTGGATTTGATATTGCCCCTAGTTGAGAAGCTATGTTATTCGATATTCGCTCCAACTTTTCTTTCATGTTCTCACGCTTAGTTATTGTTTTTTCTGAGTTGTCCATGTACACATAGCCAATCAAGTTACCACAATCTCTGCTAGATCCCATCCAAAACAACCTAATTTCATTCATCCCGCGTTTAAGTAGGAGCAAGCTATGTCCTGCTGCCCCAGATGTTATCTGTCGATAAGAATACAACGATACAGTTTTCTTCTTGTGCAACATCTAATCCTGCAATACAATTGTCCTCACTGCAGATGCCTTTGATGAACAGCATACAATCCCCCCAACCTCCAGAAATGCAGGAAGTAAGGTCAAATTTGAATCGAAAAATAGCGTGTCCACATCTTAGGCCTTTGAAGCTGGTGGAGGCACTAAACTCTAAATTTCTAGAGTTTCGACATGGCTCTCCATGGGATTATTATACTCCGGTTGGAGAGCCATATCTCGATGGTGAAGTGAAGATCATTGACGCGCAGCTGCAAGGGCCGACGGCAGCATTCGTCACTATACAGAGTACAAAACTGACGCCGGCAGTGAGGCAAAGACTTACGTCCGTACGGAAGCTAATACATGAAAACCTAAGCACGGTCCGTGAGGTCTTTATCTGCAATAATAAGATCGACAACGAGATTGATAATGCAGTGGAAGACGTAGTTCATGTTGTCTTCGAAAGCTTTCCTATATCTCTTGCTGATATTGCTGGACATGCTGATCTCACAGAAGCTCGTCTCACAACGATTCTTGCACAGGTTAGTAAAGTGAGATTATTCGTCACTGGAAGCTCATATTTCTTTTAGCTCATCAATTGCTTTTCCTATCTGGAGAAGAAAAGATTCATGCACGGATCATTGGCATGTCCGAATGTTAGAATTGATTTAGATGGGACCCTTAAAATAGGTGTGTTTCAGTAATAAATATGTCATTGCTATTGTTAACCGGCAAAGGTTGTAGCATTCGGCCATGTCGTGACGGCAATTGTAAGGACGTTCAGCACCTAGGTCGAGTAACGATGAAATTGATGCAAGGCTACGAAAAGGAGACGGGTGCGATTGGATTGGACAAGCCCAAAGGCTGGTCCGCTGAAGCACTTACGTTCCTCTCAGACACCACATCTATGTCCTCAGTGCAACAACTGGCTAAAGTAGGTCCCAACATGGTATAATGCGTTGAGAAACTAATTGACTCAGCATGAACTCTTCGTAACTATTGCCTGGGAAAAATGGATGCTGGCAGAGCTTTACCTAGAAGTACAAGTTTAGTTCATTTCACCTATGCTTCACTGTACCGCGAGTTTGATGCTATGGCGTCTATGTTGGCTGTTGCTTTGTCGCCCTCCATGTAATTGATCCTCTATATAGATGCATAATCCACCCTTGCGAACTCTTGCGATCAGTGTTATCTGCGTAGGATACATCACTAGCTATCTGCCATTCATTATTTGCTTGGTTGCTGTCGTACTCGATCGCTGGGCCTCTCATATTCTTCAGGTAATGCAGTACCAAGTCTGCCGCATCTTGATGCATAGGTCCAGGCCGTGTGTTGTGCCGGGCAAGTCTCAAAGCTGCGAATTCACCCGACCATTCGCTGGTACCTTTTGACTTCTTATCAACTTGGCTCATCATGGTAGATAGGTAGTTGTTCCTGGCTGATCGGAATTATAACCGACTGCCTAGGTTCCTTGCTATCCGTCAGCTTGAAGATCTTGTCAATATAGGATACCTATAACAACTAATTATAGCTTCTTCTGTGCTCGGTCTCGGATCACATGGACACTGAGGAACTACTTGATTGGGTCTCCACCAGTTAGCTTATACCTGGTCCTGAGATCAGACATGATCTGGTGTGCTTTCTGTTATAGATGCTTTGGATACAGTAGTAAAATGTCATCTATAAAGAAAAATGTGATAATCTGACTATTGATCATCACATATGGTTCTTGTGGTACCTTTTGGAAGCCTATCTCTTCGAAAGTCTGTGTCAGGTCTTTCTGCCATAATAATGGCGACTTGCGTAGGCCGTACATCGCCTTCTTCAGGCGATAAACTGTTCCTGGCCTTGCATAGCCTTCTGGCGGATACATGAACACGGCTCGGTCTAGGCTAGCATTCATAAACGCATTGAAAGTATCTATCTGACGGTTTCTAAATCATACCTCGCTGTCAACGCCATCAGGACTCGAAACGACCGTGCAGCCAATGTCGTTGGTTTCTTGGTACAGGTGGTAGATCCTTGATCAGTTTAGCCTGGGCATCTGAGGTCTCTTGATCCTCATCTTAATCCAAAGCGAGCATAGCTATTCTTGAGGCGATATCTTTCTTGCCTATCACTCACCCGGCATTGAAGCTTCCTTGGAGGGTATCATGTTTAGCATGCTCAAACGCTCGCTCAGCCTCATGATCGTAGGTGCGGTGCTATCCAAATTGGCGACTGATAGTGTGTCTTGGCTAAAGATGCTTCCCTCACTGCTGACTGATTCACTTGGTTGTATCTGTTATATTCCAGATATCAGTTGGCTTAGTGGGTCTGACTCCTCGGTATTCACATCCGATGGTACCGGATCTATCCAGCCATCAGGCAGTTGCCGGATGCTACTGAAGATGTCTTGATCAGGTATCCCAACCACCGCAATGACGTCATTGAGCTCTCGCTCAGCTTGTAGGTCGAGTTTCTCAATCCTGCCATTAAAGAATTGAGACTCATCAAAGATCACGTCTCGGACTACCTTAATCTTATTAGAGTGGGGTATCCAGATTTGATAGATGTTTGAGGCAGTGTACCCTATTAGGTACCTAATTCTGCCCTTAGATTGAGCTCATAGAATAGTTCGCGTTTTCTCTTCTGTACATCTGGGATCATGACGTATGACTTGCATCCATACGTTCGTATATGGCTGATCGACGGTTTGATCCAGTCTCCTTGTAGTCCAAGATTGATCCTCTGCGTGTTGTACACCGGTTCATATAGGGTCATCTATTGGTTCTGAGCTCCTGGGAGACGATTATGGATGTAACATGCTGCTTTAATATATCTCGGCCAGTATTCCTCAGGCAGGCTCGCATAGATCCTCATGGTTTGGGCCATCTCACTGATTATACCCCCTGAGCGTTTTGCTAGGCGATTCTGTGCCTCTGTGTTTGGTGCAGAAGGCTCAAATTTAACACCACGAGCTCGAAACCATGTCTGAATGATATCTGCCATGAGTTCATTATTATTGCGTTCCTTAGGCTACTTGACCTTGAACTGGGTTTAAATGTAACAGTATGTGTCAATCAGGGCTTCTAAGATTGATCGCGCAGCGGAGGAAGACTGAAAAGCCAAGCTTCCGCTCCCTTCACGCAAAGGTTATAGCACCCGACTCTCGTTTCTTCAACATGTGCACGTATACTACCGCAGAAATTGAATACGTCCAATGCCAGCAACCAGCTCAGCATAAAGTCGTAAAACGGCTTCATTGGAGGTGTGACAAGTCTCCAAAACCTGGACCACGATGTGCGACCTCCACGTACGATGCAGCTCTCGGTACACACCTCCCTTCCAGGCGAAATGCTCCATGCAAATTCTGTCGGGATCCAGGAGCATCGCTAAATGAAGAAGAGAGTTATGAAGATGCATGTCATACCGTATCTCCCATTTTTGGCAGACGATCTAATGATACAATAGCATGATCTTCATGGTTAAATAGCTTGCGAAGACATCACATCTTCGACTATGGTCCAACTCATCTCTTAGTCGAGCATTGTACACCTCATTGCGACGAACGAATAACGCAGAGCTTGGTATAACATCCCCCCTACGACACGGGACGCCGGCCCTGACGGGACAAAGCACAGGTGCATTGATTTCAAGCTATTCAAACACTTTGTGCACGCCCAAATCTCCAATCCCCAAGTGTCGATGGCGTGCCGAGGGCACTGCTGAACCGTCTGACAGCCGGCTACCTATTAACTTTCACTGCGTCGTCGTCGTCGTCGTCATCGCGCCTGATCTGCGGAGGGCCTTGTTTTACGCTCGAACAGGGGGCATGCTCCCACAGCGCCACCATTAGCTAGGGCCGCTGAAAAAACTCATTGACGACGCCTATACGAGTCTTAGAGTCTCCTCGATATGCTTCCAAAGTCATCATCAGGTTGCCCCTGCCGTACGACCCGAATTCAACCAAGTGATGCACCCCGCTCGGCACCACCAAACTTTTGATTGGACGGCCATGACCATCCCAAACGGGCCAGTTTAACTTACATAATCTGCAAAGTTCATGTCAGTACTGTGTATATTTAAGTTATCTGGGTTAAAATCCCGGTAACGCTTCGCTTTTTGGTCTTGACAGTTCAGCCGAGGCAGGCCATCCCCACGCCGAGACGGCATGCCACCCAACGTCCAATTGTAAAAGTCAACGGAAGTCCCTTCAACTCCTCCACGCAAAGAACGAGGAGACAACGACGATGGGAAGATTCCCGCAAGCATTGTAGGAGCAGACACATCCATGGTGAGTGTCTCAGCAGTTCGCATCACGATGGTGCAAGGAGCAATCATCTTGTGGCATGATAACTAACCACGACAAGGGTCTTCGTTCTTCTACCTGCCTGCCTCTAAGGTTATATCTATTACACGGAAATGCGACGAGAATCAAGTCCTGAATTGGAGAAAATTATATCATTCTTGCCACTGGAGCCCTCGCTGGCTCCAGGGCTTCGCTCAGCCTTGCCGCTTTAGTCTTCCTTGACCTTGACATAGAGAGGAGCAGTCCCCTTCTCTTCTCACTGATCAGCACCTTGCAAATTGTTAACTGCTATGTGATGCGACTACGGATCCGAAGTTAAAATCAAACCAGAACAGTCAGAATCGTTCTCATGAAGGGAAGTCCCCTTCAGGATCAGGAATTCGCTCACCATTTATGCTGACTCCTCTGTAATACTGGATGTATCGCCCGGTGTCTGTAGTATGTACATTAACATGAATACTGGATGTCGTGATATTCTTCAGAATTATTCTGGCCCCTCGTGATGTAGTCGGTGTTTGACAAGAATAGTCTCTCGTATCTTGCACGGCCGAGTGGACAGCTCCTAATTTTTCAGCACGTGACAGCACAGGACGGCTGTAGTTGTCTTCGGCGTCAACGTTGCCACCTCGCTTAATCAGCTCTGTTTTGAATCAGCCGCATCATCGCATTATTATCTCCGCGTTCAACCAATCGAACAAGCCGCGACGGTGATGCTTCTCCCCCATTCCTACTCTGTAGGAATATCGCCATTATGGACTTCGCGCTTCGCCATGGCGAAGTCACTGTACCTCCATCAAACGACCACATCACTCCTCCTTTTGGCCGAATTTCCATTGACCATACACTCTTTCCTCCTGGGTCAGCACATAACGGGATGATAAAGCATTGCTCATCACCAAGCAACCGCTTTCGACCAAGCTCTGACCTCGTTGCTTTGGCCAGAGGGTATTGACCAGGAAGTACGTGTGACGCGATACAATCATATCCATTCGTCCTTGTTCGGTCAGGTATACCATCAAAGGGATATGCACATTGATGCAATAACCCGAGCGAAGGGAACATGCATACCACTCGTTTCGAAGTCAGAGTGACAGCTTCCGTCGTATTATTAGTCATGAGCACCGCCTGTTGCTCGTTGCTTCCGTGACATGTTATGATTATCACGCTGCTTCCACCATTCCGGCACTGGTTCGTCAGCTTGCACGCCTATCAAAGGTTAACAGAATCCCAACTCCTGACAACTTATGTACCATTAGAAAGCATTTTGAGTCTATAGGCTCGTCGAGCTCAACAGCCTTAAAACCCTCAGCTAAGAACAGTTGCTCCATCTCCTTCGCGTGTTCGTAGTGATTAATCAAAATCTTCCAATCTGACCATTTTGAAGGTGCTTCCCGACCCAGGAAGCGTATGAGCGCTCCTCCGGTGGCGGTTGCCCCGGTGCGGTCAAATATATCTCTTAGCTTGTCCTTGTCGTCCATGAATTGACCCCAAGTAGTATTGCCATCCCAAGCAAGGTTTGGAACTCTCTGGAACTGTTTACAAGTCCTCCCCAGTCGAAAGATCGATTGTACATCTAACTGGTATATCAGTGCCAGGAGTAGCTCCTCCACTTCGAAGACGGCAGAAAAGGTGGTAGAGAACATCTTTAACGCGCTGGCTTAATATAATCACTGAAAGGCATTTGTTAAAGAGACTGAGAAGAAGCGCGGAGGCAAACAAAACCTGTGGCTAGCTGAGAAACCCGAGGATTTGCTGATGGGATAGATGAGAACGACTGGTCTCTCTTTTCCAAGAGTGTCAAGCCGACTCGCGAAAAGATGAGTTTATAGAATGTTTGAGAGGAAGCCAGGAACGCAGAGTCGAGCGGGCGAGGTGAATGGGCGAAAGAATCAATATTGGGACGTTTGATAAGGCGGTAGTAGCTCATTGGCCATCTGCTCCATTTTAAGCGCATGCCAAGAGCAGGTGAACGCGTTCGACGATCTTTGATTAGATTGGTACGCTAAACCAGTCAACTTAAAAGCTGTAGCTACCCATCCTAGCCACCCTCTACCGCCAAACTTTTCGTCACGCTCTGCACAAATACTGGAGCACTGCACTTTACAAAGAATTCTTGGACTGATTTCTCTGTCAGCATTATTGGATTGGGCCGACATTGAACTTTCCAGGCAACGTCCATTTTCGGTCCCGTTTACCATGTGCGTTCATTGTGCCCCCGCACCGGTCAAGCGCGTCACGAAAGGTTAAAGGCTGGCGTGTCCAACAGGTGTATCGTACAATTCATAGCTTATATTCTTTCTAGCGAAACCATTTTCACAAACCCCCTCATATAAGCAGTTTTATCACGCATTCCAATGGCTACTTCGATTACCGAAGCTAAAATAGCGACCAAGTCTTTGCTCCAAAAAGTTGAGCCACATATGAATGATGCGCTGGCACTTGAATCCCTGGGATTTTTTCTGCCGGTTGCCTTGAAGGCTCTAGATACGATAGGGCTCTTTAAAGTAGAGGAATCACCAAGAGCACTTAGTGAGTACAAATCGACCTGCGACAAACTTGTGGAAGCTATTCAATCCAACGAGGGTTCTCTTGGACAAAGAGCATGGAAAGACGTCACTGTCGATGGCAAATCATGGCATGACCATTTGGTTACAATGAAATCATGCATCAGCACCCTTCAAGCAGAGGTCAATAAGATAAAGGTTGAAAGACCGTTCCTGGCTGAAGCTATCCTGGCCGCCGTTGAACTGAAAAGGAGAATTCAGAGTTCTGAAGGCTCTTCACCTCATTTCGACATCTTAGATGGGACGCTATTATTCCTACTCTCTGCATTAGACCTTTTACAGTCACTTCCCCGCCAGAATAGCGATAGTGTTGCAGACCTCGCAGGTCCTCTACGGCAGTGCAGCTTGAAATGTCGCAGCGCCCTCCCCAGTTCAGAAGAAGCAGTTGTTTGGATGGAGAGCTGTCAACAATTATTGGTGTTACTACAAGGGTTTTCCAACACATTCGTGTGCTTTTTCTTACAGAAAAACATGTAGGACAATCCCAAAGCTGTCTCCTGTGCGTAAAGGCTGATAAAAATAGGTCTGATGATGCGAAGCTGCGAGCTCTCTCCATTTTCAGCACGATGGGTACATACTACATGCAGAGAAACCAAGGGTTGCTACAGCGACGAGTCGATGATATGTTGGATGCGAATCGAGCGCAACCGGCTTCTAAAAGCGCAATCCAGGCTCTACCCAGAACCACTAAGAGCGTGAGGGAGATCTGTGTGATCTGCACAGAATCGATGGAGATCACTACAATGCCATGTGGTCATTGTTATCACGATGGCTGCCTTTCCCATTGGCTGAAGGTGGCCGATTCCTGTCCTCAGTGCAGAGAGACGTTAAAAGAGGAGAGAAAGGCAGATACAGAAGGATGGGTGGAGGCAACAGAATGATATGTAGTTCTTGTCGCCGCGGATACACAGGACGGAAGCCAATTCCCTTAGCAACTAAATGCTGCATGTCTTAAGTCATGATCTCCAGTAACATTTGAGTCAAAACGGTGTTGGAGTACATGAATTGATTGCTTTTGATACGACTGTGTCATCTAGGAGCTGCAGACGGTCGATTTCAAGGTATAGGCATAGGCCTTGAAGATCTTGATACCCGGTTTGTTAATCTGCGCGAAACGTCCGATTTTGGTGTAGAGAAACCTCGAAAGTGACTGACGTGCCACTGCAGCAGGCCGAAAGTCGCGATGAGATGAAGCGATCGCTTTCGAGGCTCCTGCCCATGAGATTCAAACGACAAAACGTGTGAAAGGTTGTGAAATCCAGTGATGGCCAAATGCAACGAGCGGCGGGCAGGCTCCAGATCCTGCTTCCTGAGGCGAAATTTTCCATTCCACGTTGGGCGCTTGGCTGGCACAAATATTACGCGGCAGGAGCACGCGGAGCAGTTCCGCACGGATCGGAGGTACCAGACTGGGGTGTCAATAGGCACGAATGCTCGCGCAACAGTAATACACGGGATGACGACTTATAACATTGCCGTAGCAATAGAAAGTAATTAAAGGATGCCGTACATGAGTTCACTGAGCTGTATAATTTTATCGGTGTCAATACAACAGAAGACTTCCATTATGCGATAAAAAGTAGCTCCTTGCGGCGTGAGCGCGAAGGCGACAACGCGAATATATTTTTTTAGTTGAGCACTTCACAAGCATTAATAAGTAATTAGAGCATGTATTCTAGACAAGATATATAAGAAATGAGTGTACGTTGTGAAAATGAACCGCCGCGAAGTCGAAGGACCTGTGGTCTGTCCCCTCACGGTGGGCGTCCCGTGTCGTAGGGGGGATTGTTAACTGAGAAGATTCAGAGTTTCCAGCTCCTGCAGGATTTCGTTCATGGAACTGAAAGTACCATGCCAGCAACCCTCCATCAGCTTGCTCAGCGGCATGTTTTGGACATCCGGAAATTGACTCTTGGCGTATAATTGCTTTACATGGAGGAAACGATCGGGATGTGCTGCAAGTTCATCGTGTGGCTTTCTGCCAGTTACAATCTCATAAATAGCACAGCCAAATGCAAAGATGTCCGTCCTCTGGCTTACTGCTGGTGTTGATTCCTTGTAACTGAACCACTCATAACATGCTCTTGCCTCTCCTCCATCAACGCCACAACCCTCAAATCGATGATCTTCAAGCGTCCGTCAACCGTAATCCCATTGTGACATCCAACATTAGCATGTAGGACGTCGTTGTGATGCATATGTTTCATTCCCTCTGCAGCTTGCTGGAGCCAGCGGATTTTCGTATCCAACGAGATCTGGTACGCCCCACGTTCTTTGATTATTATCCGAATGGATTGCCCGCGTTCAAGGATGAGACCATTGTTTATTGCTCCAAAGCACTTCACAATGTTTGCATGCCATCCCAAACGTTCAAATATAAGGCGATCTACGTCCATTCCCTCATCGTAAAACTCTTTCAGAATTTTCTCCTCGTCAATCGCATAAATGACTCCTGAACCACCAGCCGCCAAGAAAACAAGACTTTCATAGTCAACAGATGGGTGCGATTAGAGCTGGACATGCTTCTTCACCTCTTGAATCATAATCTGATCCTGATTGTGCGCCTGGGGAAGTGGACTTTGTAGGTCGTCACGCTGTTCGTATGAGTCGTAGAGGGGAAGGGCTATGGTTGAGGTCGTGAGCTCGTTCGTCAGATTGGCTGTCTTGGGCGTGCGGGGTTGACGAGGTAGGAGCAGCGGTCTAGAAATCAAGAGAGGCCGTCGGATTCAGTTCAAGCACGAGAAAAAGGTAAGAGGTCTCGGCACGATATATCATCCAGAGTGTTCCGCTATATGTGTCAAGGCAAGAACTGAAGGTGTCAATGAAGTGCAGTGTCCGGCCTTATAGCCTCAGGCATAAACTGGCTCGATGCGCCAGAATTTTACCTCAGCAGGGCTCAGGCGTTGTCCGATAAAGGGTATACCGACTCCTATATCAGTCTACAATGGCTTAAGCATATTTTCGATCCCGAAACAAAGGAACTTGCTGACGGGAAACCACGCGTGCTAATCGGAGATGGCTTCGGAACGCATGAAACGCTCGAGATTCTCCAGTATTGTTTCGAGAATAATATCATCCTCTGCCGAATACATCAAACAAGCTTCAACCCTGCGATGTATCAGTGTTCAGCTCTTTGAAGACGGCCTATCGTGAGCAGGTTGAGCGCTTGGAGCGAGGTTGTGTTGGAACAATTAGTAAAGAGCATTTCACCTACCTCTATAGCCCTGCAAGAACCAAGACGTTTACAGCTCGCAATATACGAGCTGGGTGTTCTAATGCCGGTTTGTATCCCTTCAACCCTGACAAAGTACTGAGTGAGGTACCGCAGCCTCTACGTGAACTAACAGTACCGGAAATCAATGTGACGGAAGCACTATCTGATACGTCCTACGAAATACCGAAGACCCCTGTAACGCTAGCGTTAGCAGAGGCGTTCACATCCCTCTCGAACGCGTTCAAAGGGCTCCCCAGTAAGGAAGCAAACAGACAATAAAAAGAGAAAATGCAACAGAAGATTATTAAGGCTGCCTAACGGTGTTTTGCGGATCGAGCCATCCTACAGGGACAAAATGAATTTTTGGTTGAAATCAATAATAAGAACAAAGTCCGCCGATCCACCAAGTCTGAAGTAGTGGGAAGAGCAAAGGTAATGGCCTGGGAGGATATAGATAGGGCGAGAACAGAGCTTGCTACCAAAAAGAAGGAAAAGGAGATCAAGAAGGCTGAGAAAGATGCAGAGAAGGCTCAGAAAGAAGCTGAGAAGGCGGATCAAGAGGCTAAAAAAGCCGAGAGGGAGTCGATGAAAGCCGCAGGTAAAAGCGCACGTGGACGAAAGCGCAAGGCATGTCCAGCAGCTGAAGATGTGCTCGAGCCAAGTGCGAAGTCGCCGCGATTGAGTAAGGTGCCGGAGCCTGTGGGCTCATACATTGGTTGGCTGGGTGTGGAGCAACAAATTGCACCAGTGGCGTGGATGATCTAGTATTGCAATAGGACAGGATAGACTCAGGGATTAGTTCCATTATCTCAGCTTGAGTGGGCATTGCAGGAGTCATTACTACAGTTAGAAATACACCTACTGAATTGAACTATTTTAACCGCACTCTTCGCCACTAGCTGATCCAGGCTTCTTATGAATTTGGCAGCTACACAAGTGCTACACTGGTCTGGCGGTAGAGATCCGTAAGGATTGTAGATGCCAAGCAAAGAATTGTAAAGCCGCTGAATGGCTCAGAACCTATAGTAGTGGACACAAGCTTCGGAGACACGCCTCGAAAATAGTCGAACGCAAAAACTATGCCGCACACGTTGAGAATAGGGGGGTTTTGGGGAAGCTTAGCGTTGTATATTTTCCAAACGTTTGATTGGGTCTGTCGAGCCGGGCTGGTTTCGGAGCCGAGAGAGAAGTCGCAGAGCAGCATTGCACGAACCGACTTCCGCCGATCGCCACAAGGCTGATTAGACCTCCAGAGCTTGATTGCACGGCTGAGAGACTTGTTATGATATCCTTTATCGTCATCGAACATGGCAAGAGCATGCTGGTGACGCTGTGACAGGAATGCTTGAAGATCTCGTCAGATTGACACTGTGTGTACTCCGTAGACCAGGCAAATGAGCAATGATGAGAAGTGTAATATTTGAGTCTGAAGGTGTCTACATGGCCCAAAGTTGCCAAGCTACAGTATTTGGCAGGAAAATATCGAGTATAAATAGAAGTGCGTTGTTGCGACTGCTTTTGGGACGAGGTACCAGAGGAGGTGGCTCGCCCACCGGGTGGCTCGTTACACGGGGATAGATGTTAGGTATTTCTAGCACATCGCTGCCGCCAGTTACGCGTCTCATGACATGCAATCACCTTATTTTAGCAGTACTGACCTTAGCCATATCGCTACCGCCAGCATGTTCTAAAGATACTAGAGACAACGCCACCGCTCTTAGGTAGGCCACTGATGCTTAATACGTCGCTTTTGTAAGGAGCATCGCCTACATCCCCTTGACCGTAGCAGGGCAAAAAGCACAAACGATCAGAGCATCTGCTCTGATTATTTAGCCAATGATATTCTATACTTATAAAAATCCTCACAGCTTTATCTCCGCCTCGTATAAAGAGCCACACTTAACGCCCATCACCGCCAACTCACATATGAACAGATAGCTGATCGTAAAGGAATCACAGCATATCGCCGTATTCTTCCTACTGCAATTCAAACGGAGCAATATCACAGCCGGGTGGTAATGGAGAAGCCGCTTCTTACGGTATAATATAAGGCTGACCCCCTTGCTTGGGCACTTGCTTATGTACGCCGGTCTCAAGAAAAGCAGGCAAGAGTTATATCGACAGATGAGTGCTCAATTACTACTGTCAGCTTTTTACTATCTATATCACCCTTTAAGTAGAGGAAAAGTATATTGATTAATGCCTTGTGCCAAAATTTCAAGGTTATTCTATATGGATGATCTGAGGTTCAACCAGTGGTAACCTGCGAGGACCACCTTATCTTTAAGAAGGGATAGAGTAGTATTAATGGAGATGTATAGTCGTCAAAAATAGTAAAGATCCATCTTTGGAGTAGAGATACAGGTGCTCAGAAATCTTGTTCAAAGGTTGCTTCATGTTATATTATTTAATAGAGAAAAGAAAGTGTAAAGGGTTTGCGATCACATTCTAGCAAAGTAACTTACCTTGGGGAGGTGGTTCGGCATACTGGAATACGATAAGCAAGACTCCTGAAGGTTACTCGACGACCACGCGGACGTGGATTTGGGTATCTTTCTAATTATCTACCATTGTTGATGAAGCATCTATGTTGGGGTGTTTAAGAATCCCGTTCTTGGTAGACTGTCTGTTGGATGTGAGCAATGATGAGATAATTTCGCACCTTGCGTCCCTTCAAATTGTATAGCTATCTAGACCAATTTATGCTACTCATTCACCCTTACACAGTCCTTTCTAATTTCCATATATGTTTTATCTGTGTTTTGTGTCTGTCACATACAAAGACTATTTCCCATATGAACTAGTACAAGTTTCCGCTAAGAACACGGTCTGAACTTAGGCGATCTTGCGAACAGAACCCCGTACCCCAGGACACGGTATACCCTTTTTCCTTCAATACGGTACCCTATATCCTATGGTGATGCCATCTTATTTACCGTACCGTTTACCGAATCGAACCGTACCGATCGGTAATGCTGTTATCATGGGGCATCCTAGGTATGGGCTCCTCAAGCCGTGCCATGCAAAGTCGATTTGCCTAACGTAGATTCAAGATCGCGTCGACAGTACCCATCGTCTTGTCATATAGACGAATTCTGAAAGCCGTACCATTGGACACCTAGGTCTCGCAATCACCGCAGGTGATGCCATGCTCGCTGGGGAGAGCGACCACAATGTCGCTTTCTGAGGCCCCAACGGTGCTCAATTCCTGCAAGGACTCTCCCCTGAGTGTATGGTATGCTCCCTGAATCCACTTCAGCCCGCGACGTAAAGTAGATGCTTTGTTCTTGCCTCTCAAAGCATATTCGTTAGAATTTTCGATGCTCTCGTCGACTAAGAGGCACTTGGTGCTCTCTGAGCCGCCCGTGCTGTGATAAAATCTCGGTGAGTAATTCGGGAGCAACATCTTGTTGAGCGGCGTTTTCGCCATGCTCTATCCAACGACAGCATTGCTCAAGAACACTCTCTTCAAGGGAGAGGAAGAACGGATAGCTCTAAACTCCATATTTAGCCGTGGCTCTGCTTCGGCAGACATAAATAGGTAGAACCTTCAAATAGAACAAGCTCTATCTTTGGATCGAACATGGACGGAGCAGACAGGCGAGGATACCTTTAAGTATGCGATGTGGTTTCTACCTGCCCATAGCATGAAACACACACCTCATCACTTCAACAACACCTTGAACTCCACTATGCTCTTCACGATCATATTCAAGATTTCTATCAAGCGAGGAAGCAAGTCAATGGATGGAACTAAGTCCCACACCGTCTTCCCAAACAAGCATTCTCCCGGGCACTCACACAGTCACCTAAATTCTTCAAACAGGCAGCCAGACGAGTGTAAGGTCAAGCGAATAAGCGTTCTTCGAGCCAACCCGGTAGTGGATACTCATATGTCCATGCAGGACATCAGCACGAGACCAGGTGAAACAAAGCCGGCTCGCGCACAAGTTTGAAACATTAACTTGCTTGGATTTGTGAAGGATTTTGATATATGATATTATGTTTCAGGCAATTAATTACTTTATGCCCACCTGAACCTACTTTTGTGATGTTGTTCCCACATTTAGTGATGGCTATCATTAAGAATCATAAATCGATTCACCATCGGTGCAATTTTTGCGTAACGTTATTTCGCCTCCTCTCTCAATCATTGGTCTTTTTTAGCAGCAACCTATACTTTGGTGATATAAGCGATCTCGTTCCTTTTCTCAGCACACGCTAGCCTACGTCAAAACCCTGACTCAGACACAGGCATCACAATAATTAAGTTAAGTTATTAGAATATGGACGCCATGTCATTGATTGTAATGTTGAATGTGATGACCTTATTCTCGTTGACACTTGCGTTTTTATATCGCTAGGGTGGAAATCCGACTCAGTCAGGGTAAACTGACTCGTAAGGCACGCAAGGACTTTTATATTCTGCAAATGCGGTTGATCTTCTAATCAAATAACTTGTGGGGTAGAAGGCCAATTTTACAATTTTTCCCGGATTAGCGAAAGGTTGTATTTGGGTAAAATTGAAATCCGTTCTTGCAAACAAAATTGACCATGCACTTAATGTAAGCAACTTGCCGGAGTGGAAAATAGGAATGTCAAAATGCCAAAGATGAAGATGTCTCATCGAAGCATCACGAGGAGCAGGCATTGAGGGTGACAATGTATGCGAAATCTGCACGATATAGCTTACGTATGAGGCAGTGTATTCCCATCTTGACGAGTTTAGCTATAATGGAACCGATGGAAATTGCACCATCCATCAAGGACCAAGTTGCCATTGTTTAGCTCATGACACAGTCTGCTGCGACTCGAAATGGTAGTTGATACGGCCAGGCTCTGTTGAAAATAACGAACTATGGAATCTAATCCGTCCGGTATTCAGATGTGTTGCTGGTTCACTTCGCAGAAAACTCTATGGGGAGTCCTCTCCTTCTCAATGATTCATTGAATGTTGAACAACATGAATTTTTTTTCTTTTTCTTTTTTATGGCTGTCCTCTGAAAGGTATTATGTAAAGTCTTAAATGAATTTGCTCATACTATGCCCAGAGAGTCAAGGAGCGCTCTGAATCGCTCTCGTCGTCTTCGAAGTTGGAGTTGCCCACAGATAGTCTTAGAGACGGGGCATCTGCCCCGAGTGCCCGAGGCTAAAGTACTTGTATATTAAATAGAAGCCATTTATAGTCCGTTTCAGCCGGTTAGGGCTATGCCAGACTTTCTAAGGCTAGTAAGATGACATGTGTCCTCCTCGAGATACAACGTCTAACCTGTATATTTGTATATGGGCTGGGAACCAAAGCCGACAGTCTCACCCCATAGAAAGAAGGGAAAAGATATAAAAAACCCTCCTTCCAGGCTAGCATCTCTAGACATAGATCCCAATCTAAAGGAGAAAAGGGAGGAGACAATTAAGCCAGTGCTCTGCACTCCCCTAACTCTTTCCTTCTCTTAATTGTGTAAAAGCCGCCTCTTGCCTTAGCATAACCATTTATTTCTCGCTAAGTCCCTCCTCTATAACTCTCCTATAAAAGTATAGTACTTAAGTAGATTGTATATTGTATGAGGCTCTATCAGTTGTGGGCGTGCGCTGATTGCCAGACAACTCCAGATAGATGAGGATTTGGTACTCACTCCTTTTTGACATTGCGCTCTGTTTAGCCTCAGATAAGAGCAAGCCCCAGACTGAGTTGACCAGGTGGCACCACGAGGAGGTGACAGATGCGACCCCCAAAAATGAGAGGGTAGATACGGAGAAGTGGCCAGGCTATTAGAACGCTCTTGCATGGCGGCCTTAGGCTTGCCGGAACGGCTTAGAACTAATCAGAATTCAAAAAAAAAGCTGGAGTTGCACGATTGTTGAACCTTGGCCTCAATTTTCTATACTAAAGCATTTAAAAAATATTCTACGGATCGATACTTTATTCTAGCAGTGGCCATTCATTATACGACCTCTCAATCGTGCGTCCAAAATATGGGTCGGAATTCCCATCGCTGAATATGCCGGTTTCTCTGCCTACCTCAATAGTGTAAGTATTGTCTAATCGGCTTGGGTACTGTTGGATGGCTTGTGTACTGTCGAATGGCTTCGGTTATGTTGAATGGTTTGGGTACAGCTGAATGGTTAATTAGGGTGCAGCTCAACCGTTCAGGCATAGCTCAACCGTCGGTGGTGAGTGTATCCGCCAATTTCAGCAACCTTAGCAGATTATGGACCAGCTCGATCCGCACAGTGGCCGAAAATGTCAAAAAATATAAATATGATGAGCTCATCCAGGAAGTACTTCTGAAAAGGGAGACATACAGATCAAGATGCAGTGGCTTGTAGAGCACGTGTCATTTTGCGCCTCAAGAGTCTATTTGGAAATAGGCGCAGCGCGTTCCGCAGTGGGAATGAGAAAAGTGAGTATGTCATGGAAACAGAACGCAAGAAGGACTGCTAGGCGTGTAGTACTGGGTGCTGGAGATTCTGAATTCGCTTTTTCTCCAAATTATAGTGTAATCCCACAGAAGCACTCCAGCCTACTTAATCACTTTGATATTTGAATCAGTACTTATTATATCAAGGGAAATTCCATCTCACCCGTTCATGGAAGCAGAACTATTTCTCACAAGTCCCGTCCCGTCCTGCAAACACAGCACTTGTCACCTTTTTCAAGCTTTGAGGAAGTTTCTTGCATGATCGCATATTTGTTTTCACTGAGAATTTTACGTTATTCGCAATAACAACGTCAGCACGTTAGAGAATGCGGTCAAGATCCGGCATGTCAAAAGATCTCCCTGCAGGAGTTGGACTGCGCCGACAGAGATACCCCACAGCCGCGCATGCGCAATAAATTGATTAGCTGATGAGCACCGACAACATTTGGGACTACATTAGGTTCAACACCGTATGCTGTGCAGTTGTGCTCCACTGCTGCTTATAGAGCGACGTTACCCGCGCCAGAAACGACGTTGATGAGCTGTGACCTTGCATTTAATCAATGACGCTGGAAAGTGGGGGATATAAACGTGGGTCTCAAGGTACTCGCGCACTTGGCCTGAGTCTGAATTTTCTTGACAGTTGGTGTAGATTGCTGTTCTCTTACATAGGCTAAGAGTTCCGCCTCCTCCTAATTGCTAAGCATTCGGTTCGAAGGCTGCCGAGCGCTACGAGATTGGACACCTCTGCGCACTTCTGTCATGCCATCCAAATGGAATGGTTGGAGTGATTAACCTGGTAAGGCAGCGTACTAGTTCTAGCCGTAGTTAGCTGCTGACTGTCCAGAACACAAATTCCCAGCTGTCAGCAGGAGGCTGCAGCAGTAGCAGCGCGTTATCAGTTGTCGGCAAGAAAGCCTTTCCGAACGGAGGAAGAAGGTGCATCGTCGACATCAATTGTATCCACTGCCTCAGCCAGTGCTACTGAATCTTCTCAATTGCCTATCTAGCCATCGCATCACAGAACAGTGGCGAGCCGCTCTAGACTTGCGACCGAAGAAGTTCATGGCAGAATTATATACCAAATCAATTTTCACTAATCACGTCTGCAAAAGAGAGAAGGTAAAGAAGATAGTTGAGATGGCTTGAAAACGATTTGATAGCTGAGCAAGACGAAGCTAACTTTCGGACGTCGGCATACCTGACTCCTTCTTTTTGCATCTTCCGTGGCCCTTTTGTACTGTGATCTAATGTGTTGATGGACTCACTGCCGAACCACTCTGCTGGCAACCTCCCAGACCTATAAGTGCCTTCAAGAGGCTGCGATTCTTAGCACGCATCATAACGAAAGGGGGAAATCTTGCTGACCTCGCATCCATACGTCTGATGGATATCCCTTGCGAAGCTGTAGGAGCATCATCCTCTCTGTTGTAGATAGCCGATCTTCCAGGTGCTTGATATACTGCTTTACTCCAGTTCCTTTGAGTCTCCTCTTTTCATCAAGGAGGTAAGGCATCTTCCTGCGGAGCTCCATGAATTTACTGGCAACACTGCTCCAACCACGGTTTTTTCCTGTCAAATCATTGAGTATCTTGTTGCATACTTCTTGATGAATCCCATAGAGGCCGTGAAGCTCTAGAATTGCAATCACTTCTGGGGGAGTCCAAGTCCAGCGAGGCATCTTTTCGCTTGTTTTAGAGCTCTTCGATCTCAGATCTGAGCGCCTTATATATCTCCAGCTACGGAGTGCATAAACCGCATCCTCTGAAGTCCATTGGGGCTAATGCAAGTCCAATCGCATTCTACCAATCTAGGAGCCCATGAGGCGTTCTGCAGATAGCTGATAAAGTCAATCCTGCGTGATTAGTACAGAATCTTCGTATCTCTGAGAGCCGATGCTGCAGTACCAGTCAATGCCAGGAACAGTGATCCAGCATTTCACGTATATGACAGCTCTATGCACGTCACAACCGGAAACTGCAGGGTTGATCTCGCAGTGGAGCCGTAGCATGCCCCTGACAAGACTACGGCCGTATGAACGAAATTCAGAGTATACTGCCACAAATCCTTGTTCAGCAGTCCCGTCCTGGTGAGTGGGTGGCAGCTACTGCACGTCCGAAGAAGGAGCTTTCCAAATGGGATTCGATAGCACACAGTACTTTGGCGCCAATGATTTCCTTGTCCGCCGACCGGAACATTCACTTAGATCTTGCTGTATGAAAGGAATGTGGAGATATTCCAGCATTCTTCTGGCCATTCCTTGACGAAGGTGTGGAAAGCAGCAGGCAAAGGGCCTGTGATGCTCAATCACGATTAACAATGGTTAGAATCTCCTTCAAAATGAATGAGCAGAGAGTGAGCTTAGCTATCATCTTTCTGGAGTATTAGCCCAGATGTTGCACCTCAGGCTGGTCGTGCTTGGCCAATTGACCTAGAGGAGATTACTATACAAGAAGGGAAAGCACGAACAGCTACTTTCAGGAGAAAAGGAAATCATGTTGAGAATGATTGACGGACAATACCGGGAAGAGAGGCTCTCAGCGCCAAAAGACCAGTATCCTCATTTCAATTAGTTGCATAAATATCACTATGGTATGGTATACCCTGTCACGAGCTTTGTTTAGATATCACTACCACGCGTACCGTACCAATCGGCTAATACTGTTAACGTGGGCACCCTAATCAGCTGGGCTGTATACCACTCCGTAGGTTGCGTACGGATAGAACCAGGCACGCTAGGAAGGCCATTTGCGAATGGCATGTTGCCTTGAAAGATTCCAGCTTGATTCAGAGTAACAATACCTGACAATCCTGAAGAAGAGGGCTCCTGGCCAGTTTGATCTACAGTAGGGACCGATATGTCTTCTTTTTCTATCCAAGCACCATTGTTAGTCTTTGTCTACGTGTCTTTATTCAGAAATACGGACGCTTTGAGAAAAGGTACTATCAAGGGAGGCATTCATCTCTTCAGACCATGTACGGTAAACGGGACGGTATCACTAGAGCAGATGGCTGCTGAGATTTGTCCAGGTGGATTTGAGATTTGCCCTTGAACTATATTCTACGTCTAGTTCTGTCCTAATTCGGCCTAGGTCAAGAACTAATTAGCTCTGTAAAATTAATCTAGAATTGGTAGACCACCTTACTCTCGCGGAAATCCTTGTCGGCTAAATATTGCCCAATATTAGCCAACTATATTCAAGTAGAGTTGTCAGGTGTGAGTATTGGGTGTAGTACTTTGGTTCAGCTATTCTAATACCACTGGCGCCAGTGTCTCTTGCGTGGGCTAGAACATATGTCCTATTGTAAGGAATCAGGCTAGATGATGGGAGATGGGTGGCACATAGAAGGACAAATAGTAGTATTGTAGAGTGATCGCTGGGGAAGGGAGCTTCCACAACCTGTCACAGATAGATATATAGGCAGGTAATGTCCGCTGGTGTTCCGGTGCTGTCACCGCCCTATCACAGACCCACAGATATAGAACTATGTGTCGCACTGAGGGGCTAGCCTACTGTAAGCTAGGCAGTGCTTGAGATTGCTGATGTGCAGCGCTCAGGGAAGCAAAAGGAAGTGAAAATGTAATGTAGATGGATGTATTTTGATGAAAATGTGTTCTTATAGTGATAACATATGTTGTTGTTTATCTTTTGGCTCGTCTTTACAGAAAACAGTCTTTTATGCGGGAGATCATGTGATATTTCTGCAACAATAACTTATGGCTCTCCGGCTGGGCACGGCCGCGCGTTCCCCGGATTGTCTACCCGGTGTTCCAGCACTCAGGCAGTAGCCTGCCTTTATTTAAGATTTTTACACAATCTTACTGTTCAGGCATTCCTCTTTTATAACGCTTTTGAAATAGATAAGATAGGGTGGCAAAGTCGCATCTGTCACCTCCTCGTGGTGCCACCTGGTCAACTCAGTCTGGGGCTTACTCTTATCTGAGGCTAAACAGAGCGCAATATCAAAAACGAGTGAGTACTAAATCCTCATCTATCTGGAGTTATCTGGCAATCAGCGCATGCCCACAACTGATAGAGCCTTGTATAACACACAATCTACTTAAGTGCTATACTTTTATAGGAGAGTTATAGAGGAGGGACTTAGCAAGAAATAAATGGTTATACCAAGGCAAGAGGCGGCTGTTACATAATTAAGAGAAGGAAAGAGTTAGGGGAGTGCAGAGCACTGGCTTAATTGTCTCCTCCCTTTTCTCCTTTAGATTGGGATCTGTGTCTAGAGATGCTAGCCTGGAAGGAGGGTTTTTTATATCTTTTCCCTTCTTTCTATGGGGTGAGACTGTCGGCATAGCCCCAACCGGCTGAAATAGACTATAAATGAACGTCATCATCATCATCCTGAGCTCCCAAAGTTGGTCGGCCCCAACACCTTTACATGACATGAAAAAGTATTCTGTTGCTTCTTAAAGTTCTTATATCATGTTATTCAAAGAATCAAAATATTTTATCTTATCTCTTTGATGATGATGATCATGACGTCCATTTATAGTCCGTTTCAGCCGGTTGGGGCTATGCCAGACTTTCTAAGGCTAGTAAGATGACATGTGTCCTCCTCAAGCTACAACGTCTAACCTATATATTTGTATATAAGCTGGGAACCAAAGCCGACAGTCTCACCCCATAGAAAGAAGGGAAAAGATATAAGAAAACCTGCTTCCAGGCTAGTATTTCTAGATATAGATACCAATCTAAAGGAGAAAAGGGAGGAGACAATTAAGCCAGTGCTCTGCACTCCCCTAACTCTTTCCTTCTCTTAATTGTGTAACAGCCGCCTCTTGCCTTAGCATAACTATTTATTTCTCGCTAAGTCCCTCCTCTATAGCTCTCCTATAAAAGTATAGTGCTTAAGTAGATTGTGTGTTATACAAGGCTCTATCAGTTGTGGGCGTGCGCTGATTGCCAGATAACTCCAGATAGATGAGGATTTAGTACTCCCTCCTTTTTGAAATTGCGCTCTGTTTAGCCTCAGATAAGAGCAAGCCCCAGACTGAGTTGACCAGGTGGCACCACGAGGTGGTGACTGATGCGACTTTGCCACCCTTGGGAGCTCAGGACATTCGATGTAAACGCCGCTCTTAGATTAAGGTATAGGGAGATCCTGAGGCCTGAAAGGATTAGAAGCGTAGACTCTGAGTGAACCATGGGTCAATACATAAATAGATTATTAACGTAAAGTAAAGCATAGTAGGTCTGGTCAGAGTAGAGTAAACAAGCAAGCAAAGCAGACAAAGCAAAGCAGTATGTTGCGCTCGGGTTCCTCTCCATCATCCGTATCCCACTTCCTTTATACACCCTCAATCTCACCCCTGGCATCCTTGTCAATAATATTATTTGGGCCCTATCCTATACTTCATTGGTTGAGCTCAAGCTCAACCTGAGACGAGCTCGAGTTGAATTCATCCGTGCCTTATTCTATTGCCTGGTTGACACCTTTTCATCCTGTACCTGTGGTACTGAAACAGTGTGGTATAGAAAAGGAAGAGTATGGCAGATGACAGTGCTCCGGAAGATCTAACGCATAGCGGCAATCAAAGCCATGTTAGTATTCCGCATAGTTTCCACTGACGCGCTCGAGATCGAATCAAGCCTTCTCCCAACACACCTTAGGCTCAGACAAAGGGCCCTAAATATCCTAGGCAAACTTAAGATACTGCCCACTAACCACCCAGTCTGGCCGCTTGTCCATCCGACCACGTCAGCCCCAACCCGCAGTATAATGTAAAGCCTATTTATACTTATACAAGCAATAGCAATAGAGAACAGGCTGTTTTAGAAACTCAAAATTATCAACCTAGCACCACTCCCTCTATGGCGATGAACGCCCTTCGCAACAATAAGAACAATGTGCAGCAGAGAAGAAGCCAAAATGACGACCAAGTCGCTGGTCTTAGCTGACCCTGATTCAGTAAGTTAATTCAATTATTGTTCTATTACGAGCCTATAATCTCGGCCTTCCATAAATAAGAACATAAAAATGTGTTCAAAGAGCAAAAAAGGAACGGTCAGTGCAACATCCGAGCATCAACTACGTTTTCTAAGGTGTTTCCTCTCTGGTTCGCTGTGTTTTGCTTCGCTTCTTCTTCTGATTTTCTGTGCTCTTCTTCGCACCTTTGCCTTTGCTTTTTTTATTTTTTTCAACTTCTTTATTTCCCCCCTTCTTGGCCTCCATGGTTTTTCTGACTTTTTCAGCTTTTTTGGCCCTTCTTTTACCATCAGTATCGCTGCTTTCGCTTTCGCTTTCGCTATCACTCTCGCTCTGGCTCTCGTTTTGGCTCTCACTTTCTTCATCATCATCAATTGTAGCATCACTATCATCATCAGTATCCTCTGATTTGATATAGTACCCGGCATCAGGCTCGGGGGTTGCCTCTGGCTTCTCCCGGTCTCGAGGATCTTCAGAAGGCTTAAATTTAGGATCATATGCAGTCTCAAATTTGACAGCTAGCCGCCAGAATCCGTCCCTGGCCCGTCGTCTTCCTCCACTGAAACGCGGTCCAAATTCACTTCTCGAGTAGTATATGATTCTGAGCTTCTCACCTTGCGTGCATTTCACAATGTAATGTCCAAAAGTTCCCTGTTGGTCTCTTCTATATTCACCGCTTCGTCTCGTTTCCAGAATTTTAATATCTTTGGTGGAAGGTGAGTGCTGAATGGACCAGGTTACACCAATGATCTCTATCTTCCACTTATTAAGTTGCTCAAAGGGAATTCTGCCTGCTGTTATTTCCTTCACACCAACTAATTCGTTCTTTGTTATCGTTGGATCATGCACCGTTCTGCGGACTTTATGTTTAACTCCTTTTTTTCCGGTTCTCGTCCATTGAATACAAACCCATATCGAGCCTCTAAATTCCATCCATCTTTTTATTATTGCGTTCTCCTCTGGATAATTCTCATTAAACACGCCAATGCCACCTTCTAGAGATGACAGATCGACTCCCTCTTCCTCGGCGTCAGAATCATCCGTGGCATCTAAATCTTGGGTATCATCTTTTGAAATGGACTTTTTAGCTCTCTTCTTCTTCGTTGGTGGGCTTAGCTCGTTGTACTTTTCATCATCGGATTGTTCAATAGATTTTCTCACCCTTGGCTTCTTGCTCTTATGTTTCTTCTTTGGCGTGGCAGGCTCATCTTCTTCTGTATCGTTTTCAGATACTTCAACAATCTTCTTTCTGCTAGACCTGCTACTCGTCTTCTTCTTCTTCTTCTTCTTCTTCTTCTTCTTCTCCTCCTCCTCCTCCTTTTTGGCGGACGTATCTTGGTTCTTCCGCTTAATTTTCTGGCCATTAGGCGGGTGATCGTCTACGGTGGCACTGCTATCGCTGTCATTCTTGCTGACGTCGTCATCGGACGGAGCATCTACCATCTCGGCATCAGTTGACATTTTTATGTAATTCTCTGATGAGTTTGAAAATCAACCGTTCAATTCGCTGCCTTTCACTTTATATACCCTGATGTCGTAGACTCTAAGGACATAAATAGAAAAATTTATTTAAAGAAATATATCGGATACCAAGATAGGCATTCATCTCCCAGAAGAGTTTAATTCTATCTAAATATAGATATATTCCTACGTAAATCTCAGAATCTACGTCATCTAGGTGTTGCCAATTTGGGAAACAGGGCGAGTACCACTATCCAGAGGGTTCAGGCACTAGTCCCAGAGAGTCCTACAAAATGTTGTGTGTTTTGGCAATTCTTTGTCTGTGGTAGAATATCTGTCCTTGGTCTTCTTATATCCTCGCAGCACCCGCTTATATATCTTCTTCACCTCCTCCAGCTTGCCCTGGTCTGCGTAGAGATAACCTAGCTTATGCATTATCTATTCTATACCTTCTTTTGTAATTAAGCCTTTATTTATCATACTCGAACATCTACCTATATGCTGGAGAAGCCGCCTCTGTGTCGCCAACCACTCCCTCTCAACGCGCGAAGGAACGTGTGACCCCACAAACTTCGAAGCCAGTCTCGCTAGTCCATCGTCCCAATTCTGGTTGAGAACATGAATCGTCCATTCATGCACGCATGTATGCATGCTATACCCTCTGGATTTTACAACCATAATTGGTGACTGGTCCACCTCTATAAGTCTGTAATTACATAGCACGCGAACAGCGCTGTTGAACCTGAACTCATATCTAATATCCTTCGCGCGATGAGAAGGAGTGGTTAACGTTACTGAGGAGGCCTCTCCAGCATATATGTAGATGTTCTAGTATGATAAATAAAGGCTTAATTGCAGAAGAAGACATAGAATAGACAATATACAAGCTATGTTATCTCTACGCAAACTAGGGCAAGCAAGAGGAGGTAAAGAAGATATATAAGCGGGCGGTGCGAGGATACGAGAAGGCATAGGGACCAGAGCATACATCAACACTAAACACGGTCAACAACTTGGGCAATCTCTATAAATCCCAGGGCAAGCTGGAGGAGGCAGAGAAGATGTATGAGCGTGCACTGCAAGGATATGAAAAGGCTTTAGGTCCAGAACAAGCTCTTGAATACATTCCTGCACTGAACATGATGCAGAATCTCGCCTTACTTCTCTCTATACTTGGCAGATCTGGTGAATTACAAGATTTATATATGCATGCTCAGCATAGTGTTAAAATGGTGTTTAGGCATGCGAGTTTGCAGCATGAGTATATAGCTTAAATGTTAGCAGACTTAAGTTTAGATAATCTATCTTACAGTAGTATCAGGTATATCTGAGTTTGAAATGGTAGACTAAATTATATAAATATCAGCGACATCATTAAACCTTCTGTTGGCGCTTCCTTCAAAAAGGACCGCAAAAGTCTAAGGCGCTCTAGCATCAGAAAGAATATGTCAATAAAATAGTAAGAGGTATAGGAAATAGAATATGATAAACATTTTAAAGTAACGTCCGTCCCTGAGTGGCGGAACACACTCCGAGAAGGAACACCAACATGGGTACTTCATGTTCGCCATTACTTCAAAATTGCGCAAATCTCTCTACCCCTTTGTTACCATATAGATAATATAGAATAGCTAATTCTGAGTACGCAGAACTATTTCTATCTTAAAATTACAGCTGCGTCGCCATGCTGTTGGCTGTTTCGCACAGCGTGTCTATTCATGGAATAACGCTGGCCGCAGTATTACAGCTCTGGTAGTACACCTGCATTACTTTAAAATTGATGGAGAGTTTGTATTTTGTCATTACAGTCCTATTATTATTCTAGAAACTTATTACCTATTCTGTGGCGGCCACGTGGTATT